GCCGGGCTCGGAGGCGGGCCCAGGCGGCCGCTGGGCTGGGCGGGGCGGCGACGGTTGAGCCGCGGGCCGAGGCACTGAGGCGGAGACTGAGAGAGGCGGGCGGGGAGGCGAGGCGCGGGGAGGTACTGAGAAGGTGAGGCTCCGCCCCCGGCAGCACCTGGCCGAGCCGGCTGATCCGCTGACGAACCAAGCAAATATCGGACGCCATGCTGCGTGCGCCGCGCCCTCTTTCTTGAAGTCCTGCCCTCGGAGCCCTGTGTGCTTCCGCGCACGCGCGCCCCACAGGTCCGCGCCGCGCTTCCGGCCGCGCGCTCTCGCCCGGGGCGCACACGCCCGCGCCTGCGCAGCAGGGGGTCGCTACCGTCTGCGAAGCCCCGGCAGCCTTTGATCTCACAGGACCGTTACTTCCCCGGGCCGCTGCTCTCTCCGTGGGACGACCTTCCCTACCCGCATTTCCCTTCTCAGTTCCCAACTTTTAGATGAATTTATAAAGTACTGACACAGGTGAAGCCGCGTTTTAAGGCTCGTGTTAGTGGAAAGTTATTGCAGAACAACAGACTTTTGACGACTGTTCTGTAGGGTTCCTCGGAAGCATGATTCACCAAACATTGCTTCCGAAATTAGGTTTATTTTCAAACTTATCATCGGGGCCATAGTTGAAAGATGAAGAAGAAAAGTTATACCTAATAGAAAAAGGAGTGGCTGGACAGGCCCTTGGTGACCTACATGTCCCCCCCTCCCACCCCCGCCTGTCAAGTTCTCTGCTAGGGGCACTCTTGGTGTCTTTCTTCAGAAGGATGATTCCTTCAGTATTGGGCTTAGGTGACACTTCCTTCCTGGCACCCAGTTATCGGAGCCCCAAGGTAGTGATCTTGCTGGCTTCCTCAATACCTTGAAAGTTCCTGGAGAGCTGTAATGGTGGCCGGTTAACACCGTGTAACATAGTGAATAAGGAAGAAAGGACTTTAGCACAAGAGAATTCCAATACCGGCTTCCAAGTACTTACGTGTATATATGCTAACAGTTTACAAGCACTTGCCTATGAATGAAATTAGCGGGTTTCTTGCCATTGAAGTTATTCTGTCAGTGATGACTACTTATTGATCGTCTTTCTAGTAAGCACTTTCTCTTTTGAGACCTATTTACCTCCTCGTTTGCTGCCCAGAGAGTGTGAAGCCTAACTATATTTCAATTTCCTTGCAGGCAGAGACCATCTTACTCTTTTTATCCTGGCTCTTGTTCCTCAGTCCCAGCATAGTGCTTGTGCTCAGTGGGCACCTAATGGATGATTGCAGATTCCTCTTTCTAAGCAAGAGATCACCATAGATACCCCTCAGGGTTAGGTCAGTGGAAGGTGACCATGCATCATTACCCGCCGCACCTGAGATCACCATGAACATTACAGAGAAAATGGCATCCATCTGGTTAAGGCAACTAAAATGTAGTGGAGAGGCCAGCTCAGCTTGAGCTTTAGGCACTTTTTAACAGGAACACTGAAACAAGTTTGGCCTAAAGCAGCCACCATCTTTGTTTTGAGTTTGACCTAAAGGTTTCGCTGCACATAGTGAAATGTAATCTAACTTGATGTATAAACAGACTGTAATCTAACTAAGATGTACCTTTGTAACCAAGCAACTGAGTCTCAGCCAATCACAGCAACTAAACCTCCAGACAAGCAGAGCAGGAATACTGCTGAAACATGCCCATATAAGGCTAATGCCCACTGCAGCCAATCAGGTTGCTTCTGTATGTCACTTCCTTTTCTCTGGCTATAGATAGGACCTTTACATGTGATGGGATGAAGTATTCTGAACCGTTTTGATCCTGAGTGCTGCCAGGTTCTAGAATCCTTTACCGTTTATGAGTTCTCAAATAAACTTTGTTTATTCTCAACCAGGTGGTTATTTTACTTTGGTTGACAAGCAGTACTCCAGGTCTTCTAGCTTCCTCTCTCTCTTTTTTTTCCCTACTTTGTTTCTGTACCTTCCTCTCAGTGCTTCTCTTTTTATTCACTTTAACCCATTTTTCTTAATTTTTCTGTTGAGGCCTTTTAGGTAGGCATCTGGTGGTGGAGTAGTGGATAGTAGCACTATTTAGTTTGGGCTTCATAGTAACAAGATTCAAATTAGACTCCTAATATTATATCGACATGGGATCTACATGGCCAGATTAGAAAGTTGTTCACCTTGCAACTTTATATATTAACTTTAAAGGTGTAAAGCATACCATATCTTAGTAAAATAGTTTTGGCATTTCTCCATTCTTTTCACTTATTGAAAGTCTCAGAAATTAGAATTGGCCCAGCCCTTTCTCAATTTCTGAGATTAACTTTCTGTTGCTTCTGTTCTGCCTCTTGTTGCCTTCTCTCCTGCTTGTTCAAGCCCACAAGGAAGGCATGATTGTTAGTTCTTCTCAGGAAAACTTTAGTGCTGGATTACACTCCTTCAACTATAGTTAGGTCCCTTCTTGGCCCTGTGCCACTAGTTTTTAAAGATAGAGACCACTTAGTGTGAGCAGAACCACATTTGGTCACTTGGAACTCATTCACAGGATCTGACTGAGCAGAACAAAGCAGGGGAGCGCTACTGCTGTTACCTTCTGTCACTTCAGCCCAGCTCTGCTTCTGCAACTCAGCTAACCTCAGAGGGCTCCTACCTTCCTGAGAAGGAGCTGACAGTGGCTGGCAGAGCCAGTGAGATCTGATTGTGCAACAAGATAGTTGTGAATTTTTTTTTTTTTACCTTCCCAAAACAGGAGTGTTTAAACAATAGCATCTCATTGAAGGCACAACTTCAAAATCTGGGAAGAATGTCCAGATGTCCGCATCACATTGCCTATAACACTGGTCATTTTCTGATTGTTCTTCAAATCTGAGGAAAGAGCCAGAAGCTCTGGGCACAACATGTTCCAGGTCTACTCTACCAGGGCCATTCTGGAAAATAATACTTGTAATGCAAAATTGTCCTGTTTATCTAAAGTAGTGTTATTGAGCTCTCTCTGTGGTGGTATAATCATGGCTAACTTACCTACATAATTTGTCATTGTTTCACTTTCTCTTTGCTGTTTATAAAACATATGCCAGGCTGTGATACTTGGGATTTAGGGATGCTGAGAAGCCAGAAAGGAAGCTATATTTAGGCAAATCATATCATTGGCTAACTATAATATTCTCTTGTTTTTCTCAGTCAGAATACAAAGTTTCAGTCAATTTATTGGGAAGATGAGTCTTTATAATTTATTCCCAACTATTATCTTTTTTTTCCTGAAAATATATTGTTTAATACCAACAAGTTCAAAACCTGAGTTTTGCTTACAAACACAAATTGGTTTTTTTCTTTCCCTAATGAATTCAACAATTATTTTAGAAGAGGTTAAAAATAACTCTAATTTTATTTAAATTGTACAATAGGTTGATTCAATATGCCTAGTAAATTAATCTCAATTAAATAGGCTTTTTATTTTTTTTTTTTATTTTTATTTTTTTTTTTTTAAATTTTTATTTTGTCAATATACACTGTAAAATCCTTGATCCATTTTGAGTTGATTTTAGTACAAGCAGAGAGATATGGGTCTAGTTTCAATCTCCTGCAAATGGATATCCAATTATCCCAGCACCCTTTGCTGAAGAGGGAGTCCTGACCCCAGTGAATAGGCTTAATGCCTTTGTCGAAGATCAAATGGCAGTAAGTGCGTGGGTTGATTTCAGGGTGCTCTATTCTATTCTAAATAGGCTTTTTATTTTTTTTTTTTTAAATTTTTATTTTGTCAATATACACTGTAAAATCCTTGATCCATTTTGAGTTGATTTTAGTACAAGCAGAGAGATATGGGTCTAGTTTCAATCTCCTGCAAATGGATATCCAATTATCCCAGCACCCTTTGCTGAAGAGGGAGTCCTGACCCCAGTGAATAGGCTTAATGCCTTTGTCGAAGATCAAATGGCAGTAAGTGCGTGGGTTGATTTCAGGGTGCTCTATTCTATTCTAAATAGGCTTTTTATTTTTTTTTTTTTAAATTTTTATTTTGTCAATATACACTGTAAAATCCTTGATCCATTTTGAGTTGATTTTAGTACAAGCAGAGAGATATGGGTCTAGTTTCAATCTCCTGCAAATGGATATCCAATTATCCCAGCACCCTTTGCTGAAGAGGGAGTCCTGACCCCAGTGAATAGGCTTAATGCCTTTGTCGAAGATCAAATGGCAGTAAGTGCGTGGGTTGATTTCAGGGTGCTCTATTCTATTCTAAATAGGCTTTTTATTTTTTTTTTTTTAAATTTTTATTTTGTCAATATACACTGTAAAATCCTTGATCCATTTTGAGTTGATTTTAGTACAAGCAGAGAGATATGGGTCTAGTTTCAATCTCCTGCAAATGGATATCCAATTATCCCAGCACCCTTTGCTGAAGAGGGAGTCCTGACCCCAGTGAATAGGCTTAATGCCTTTGTCGAAGATCAAATGGCAGTAAGTGCGTGGGTTGATTTCAGGGTGCTCTATTCTATTCTAAATAGGCTTTTTAAAATAAACTTAATTTTCTAGTAATTTTTGATTTATAGAAAAGTTGCAAAGTACAGAGTTCTATATACACTTCATCCTGTTTCCCCTAACGTTAACATCTTCTATAACCACCATACATTTGTCAAAACGAAGAATTAATATTGGTATATTACTATTGACTAAACTGGAGAATTTTTCAGACTTCATCAGTTGTCCATTAAATGTTCTTCCACTGCTCCAGGATTCGATCCAGGAAACTACATTTATTCTAATGAGATCTTTTTTGAAGGGATGTTCAGGGGTGGATGGAAACATGTAAGACAAAATCATTTTCTATTCTGTTGAAAACTGAACAAAGTGCATAAGAAGGATTCAGTACGTGGCAAAATGCCTTGACCCCAGGAGCACCCTGCTTTATGACTGCAACCTGGGTTTCAACACCTTATCCGCTTAAGCTGCCTGGGTCTTTGTACCCAAACTTGTGACTGTGACCTAGTGCCACATATGATGGATTCAAGTGCATGCCTAAAGCTTGTTGCCTGCTCTCATAGCCCTGGGTCCCACCACCTGTTGCACTAAGTGTAAGCTTCTGGAGAGTACTTTAATCTTCTGCAGTCTCTTAGAGCAGTGGTGCAAATCAGTGGTTAACAGCACAGCTGTGTTGTCAGGCTTCTGGTTTTAAACCCTACCTCTACTTTGTGACCTTCAGCAAGGGCTTTGATCTGCCTAAGTTTCCATTT